GAACTCAATCAAATAGGGCTATTTTTCTTTTATCATTAGATTCCAAATTAATTTATTTAAACTTGTAACGTATTTCATGTTTGTCTATAGACACGTGTTCTCCAAGTGTTTGAAGCGTGTCCGAATCTATAAAGTTTTCAAAAATAGTTGGACATGGTTAGATGTGTGTCCAATATCTTTCTTTATGTTTATTTTTGTCAAAGTAGTTCTAATTTCTTTTTTTTTTAAGCCGACCCCATTTGATGAGACTTAAGGCTTGGTTTTGTTTCGTTTCGTTTCGTTTCTAATTTTTTTAAAACGAATTCTAAAAACTCAACCAAATAGCATGTGTTTGGTTTTAGTTTTCTAAATTCAATTTTCTGAAAATTGAGTTTTTTGTTTTTCGTGTTTTTTTTGTTTTTAGTAAATATTTTTAAAATTTTAAGCAATTTTTTTACTTTTTTAGTTGTACCTTACTTAGATGTATCTAAATAATAAATTATTAGTGAAAAAATATTTTTTTAAATTAATAAATACACAAAAATATGAAAAATTGCATTTTTTTGTATTTTTTGTATTTAGTGAAATTTTGAAAAAAAAAATTTCACAAATATTGTACTTTCTAAGTATATTTATGTTAGGTGTGTTTAAAAATTAAAAAAATTGCATAAAATATTTTTTAAATTCAGTAAAAACAAAAAAAAAAAGGAAAAAAGAAAAAGTAAAAAGTAAAATTTTCTAAAAAAATGAATTCTGAAAATTGGATACAAACAGAGTGGTTTTTCTTTTATCATTAGATTCCAAAAAACTTATTCGAACTTGTAATGTGTTTCATTTTTTCTTAAGCAATAGACACGTCGGAAGCGTGTTCAAATCTCGAAAGTTTTTAAAAATAGTTGGGCAAGGTTGGATGTGTGTCCAATAGGTGTTGGGAAGTGTTGGATGAGTGTCACTTCATGTTGGTGTCCGACACAACATACTGTCTTATTAGAAGTGTTTGTGCTTCTTAGATTACCTACCACATACCTCACATGGGACTGGAAATCACCCCAACTGTGTCTAATACCCTTCCAAAGTAGCAATCTATAACACAGCAATACCTCTAAGGACATCCAATGCTCCCACAAACACCTATATTTTGCCTTCACAACACTTCTCTACAACTTATTGTACTCACAAACATTTTCCACAACCACTTTTCCAGCAAAGCTTGATTAAAAGTTCTAAGGCAACAAATCCCCAAGCCTCCCACCCTGATAGGAAGCAAAAACAAAATCCCATTCCACCAAGTGATATTTAAATTCATCACCCAGCCCTCCGCACAAAAAATCCCTTAGCCAACTTTTCTAATATTCTCACCTATGAGAGAGAAATGGTTAACACTGACATGAAGTAGGATGGTAGGCCAAAGAGAGCACTCTTGATCAAAATAAGCCGACCACCCTAGGATAGATATCGTTGCTTCCACACTGCCAACCTCCTGTAAAATCTATCAATGCCTGAGTCCTACACGTTTAGCATTGAAAGAAGAATCCAAACGGAAGCCCAAGATATGCAAGTGGAAAAGACACCACCCCTACAACACAAGGCGGTGTTTGGGAAGTGAGGCATGAGGCTATTTTAGCCTCATTCAACCAAATAGCCAAAAAGCTTTACTTTATCTAAGGTTTGGCACATGGTTCATGACTGTGCCGGACAGAGGATGAAATTACAATTTTGCCCTTTTAATTTTTGACTAACACACTAACTCAACATTCCAACACACATGGGCAATTTGGTCATTTCTTATCCCAACACATCAAATCAGCACATCAGCAACAACTTTTTAGGGGTAATTTGGTTCTTTTTTATCCCAACATCATTTCAAACACATTTTCCAATAAACATTCAAACAAAAAATTCAACCCATCTTCCCAAACACAAAAATTAAAATAGCCTACTAAAATAGCCAAATAGCCTAAAAGTAGCCACTTCCCAAACGAGGCCACAAAATGGAGGGAAGACATGAAAGCTCGAGACAACCACAAAGCAAAGGAGGATATATCTAAGGTCGGGCGGGGTCGGGCGGATTGAAAGGTTGTCTAAACCCAACCCAACCCAATTTGTGTAGAGAACTGTCCAGGCCCGCCCAAGCCCAAATTGTAACCCAAGGTTGTTTTCACAAACCCGCCTTGAGTTATGTCCAAATTGCCCGAGTTGCCCAAATTGCATATAAATTCGATTTTTTTTTTGTGCATGTGTGTGCAACTAAATTAATTAATTTGTTAAAATTAGACTTTATTTACATTTTTTTATATAAAATCATTAATAACATCAAAACAAATCATTTATATAATGTGAGAGACAAGAATTGAAAAACCAATGTACAATTATAGTGGTCTTTACAATTTCATAATCAGAAACGAGAAATGTATGGTTTTATGTTGTGTAACTTGTATATATAATATATATTTAATATGATCTAACAATCCAAATTAATTTAACATCATCCAGTGGCTAATAATTTTTATATATATAATTCGGGTTTCAGGTTGCTCAAGCTGTTTGACGTCTTCGCCAAAGCCCTCCCAAATTTAGTTCAAACTTCAAAATTTTTGTTTAAACCCGCACCTTATTCAAAAATATTTTGCCAAAACTCTGTAACAAGTCATGTTAGTCTCGGGTTTCTCAGGATGAACCCGCCCAAGTTGTACCCCCAATCTAACATAATCCAACCAATGAGGACTAATGCCATAAAAAATGACAGTATCATCTACAATAACAAATATGACATCGACAGAGCATCCTCATTGACCTCCCCACCTCAAAAGCCTTGCTTAACACCTCCATCCCCAAAACGAAAAAACAAACAAGGGACAACATGCTTATCTTAATTGTTGGTTCAACTTATGCGTGGCGAAAAAGGGACAGTAGTCTCAACTCTCCTATTGCAATCCTGAGATGACTAGAAAGAAAAAGAAAAAAAACACATTATTCTACCCAACAAATAATCAAGAGAACCTAGTCAACATGATCATGAGCTTTCTCAATGTCAAGCTTGCAAATCATCTATGAATGCCAATCCTTAACCAAGAGTCCACCCCTTCATTGGCATGCGACACTGCATACAAATCTAATGACCGCCAACAAAAGAAATAGGGGAAGGCAAGACCTCCTTCAAACACCTAGCTAACGCCTTGGCCAAAATTTTGTAAATCCCTCCAATCAAGTTACTTTTGTATCAGCCTTCTTAATAATTGAGAGACCTTTAAGAAGTGCAACCTTCCCCAATAGCCAACCATTCCCCCTATAAGCACAACCCACCGCACCCTCTCTATAATCTAAACCCATAGTCTCCCCCTACCTAAAAGGAACTATATTTGATTCCATAAAAGCCCTCTTTCCATCTGTAATAAAATCATTCCTTTCCCCCATCTTTTTTCCATTAAAACAAAACCTCCCTTATAATCTGATGAACTCCAAAATTCCCCTCTACCTTCGGAAAAACACTCAATTCCCTTACATGAATCCATTTGGCATATATGCTTCCTTTCATCATAATTCAACCTATTCATATATGCCCCAATGTCCCCTCTCCATAATCTAAACCCACAGCCAACCCCTCCCAAAGAAAAACAATCTTTGATTCCATAAATGCCCTCTTCAGATCTGTAAAACCTCTCTTCTAATTTGATTAGCTCCAAAATTCCACTCTACCTTTGGAAAAACACTCAATTCCCTTTCATCCTCTCACACAACTCCCTTACATGAATCCCTTTGTCATATACGCTTCCTTTCATCATAATTCAACCCATTCATCATATCCCATTGCACCAAACTGAACTATTCTCCTCAAATTTCCAAAAGTTCATCATCATTTCCATTTCCACAAATAAAAAATTGTTGATCCAACCCCTTGGAGTCCAGAATCAACATTAATTCCACAATCCCATGCAAGTTACCATCATTTGTTGCCCCATTCTCCCCACAACTAGAACGAGAAACAAAAAAATTTACAGATGTTTCCTCACATGACAAATCACCCTTCGAGATAAGGCCCAACCCATTACCAAATTGCTCAAAATTAATTACAGACTTAGCGATTACCCCATTATTTCTTGATTGAACCAGGCCAATCCATTAAAATCTCCTAACCAACTACCAATAGATCTGATACATGACCCAACAAAGTTAAATTTCTATCTATTGGACTCACCCATAACCTGAGCCTTAACTTTAACCTTACATGGGCTTGAAGAACTCCTTTGTCCACTGAACTCTCATGTAATCTAGGATAAAGAACCAGAAAAATCCTGACTGGGCTTTGAATTTTATCCCCACTATTCTTCACTATGGGGCTTTTCTTAACCTCAGCCCAACATTGCTTTTTATAACCCAAACCCAGCTCGCATGGCCACTACCCCACCCCAAACCAAAACTCTAATCTCCACCAATTTCGGACCTCCAACTGTCAGCGTTAAGATCATGAATGCACAATTGTAGTACCACAAATCTCCAAAAACACCTTTTAATATATCGCAACCATGAAACATCCCCTCCATCCTAACGCCACCATATCTGTAAATAAACCCTTGCATAACCAAGTCCAAAACCCTATGCCCATGCTTCAATCTTGAAGTGAAATAAAAACCCTCATAAATCTTCAGATCTAAACATGAATTGCAATAGCCTTAGGTTTCATCATTTTATCCATTTAATGGCGCACATTTCCTCTAACTTAAGACTCCACAGATTATACTATTGCAATTCAATTACGTCTTTCAATCTTTTTAGCATGATAGTTAAGTGTTTTTCTCAGCCTTAACCAGTACCAATAATGGATAATAATTGAATTTCCAAACCAGCTAAATAAGCACCTAGATGTTGATGCATATCCAGTTATGTTGTCAAACACCATCTACCAATAAAATTGTCCACCTTTCTTGTAAAATTCCAAAAAACTAATTCACATATAGGTACCAATAAAAAGAATTATTATACAGAACAGAAAACCAGAATAAATAGAATCTTAGGATAGTTACCGAAGTGGAAATAGTCTTTTTGCCACAAGTTGCCCGAACAAGACATCTGTACTCAATTTCGTCACCAGCCGTTCCCATTTTTTTCCTCTGGGCCTTAGACTTCATGGATGCTATAAAGACAAGAAACAAAAGCATAAATCAAAATAACCTGCTAAGTCATGCAATGATGAATAACAAACAAAGATGTAGAAGCAGAAAAATTTACAGCGTTTGAGAGTAACCCAAACAGAGCCTTTTTCTGTGCTGCGCTCAAACATGCTAGTAAGCTCATTGAGAAATGGGTCTGGCTGTAGAAGTACCTACAAAAGCAATGGAAAACAACACAAAGTCATTGATACAAAATAAATAAATAAAACCTATATAGTCAATCTTAACCCGAAGCACACTAAGTTTAAGTGGAAGACATGAAATAAAAGAAGGATAATTAATAACTAACTGTACATTAGTGCCAAATGGTATAAAATTAATAAAATCTTTATGTGTAATTTGCACCAAGGATGGCCCAAGGGGAAGCAGGCTTAATATAATAGTAATAGTTTAGAATGTTTTCAAATTATATATGTTCGTCTCCACTAAATTTTTTTCTGAAAAATAATAGTGCCATTGTAGGCCTTGGTGTATTCTTGTGTCTGTCCCAAATTCTCACCACTTAGCCGATATTTAGTAAGCCCAGTTCAATTCACACTCCTCTTTTATACGAAAACACTATATTGTTTGTCTTTATTCTACAAAATTACAATAAAATTCTCTTTTCTCACTCACACTTTAGAGTGGTTTAGAGTGATTTGCAGATTAAAAGTAAAGAATGGAATTTTTATTTTTTATTTATTTATTTTTTTTTATTTTTTTTTTTTTTTGGGTAAAAAAAAGGGAGAGCGAATAGTAACACCCTTTAATAATTATTTCCATCAATTATACAGACAACTGCAAAGTGTTTTTAAACTAACCACAAAAAAATACACATCAAAATTTCAATAAGAGTGGGAAAATCACACAATTGTTTGTGCAGTGAAGAAATCACTTCATTCATCTTAAGAACAAAAACTATTGGTAACAAGGATCCTTTTCAGCTATGAATATGATCATGTAAAAAATCTACTATTTCAATTAAGCAATTCACTTTAAGGTTTTGATAAAATTGAATACCCAATTACTATTATTATTATTATTATTATTACACAAAGTTGTACAGCAAACAAAACTTATCGCTTCTGAAGATTGACTCAGAGCAAAAAATATATTGGACGAAATGAAATCGACATCAATTCATTACATACACAGTAATCAAGAGCGTGTGTGTATATCTTAGACATACAAGAATACACAAGAGAGTGATTACCATGGCGAAACCTCAGTTGGAGACTCGATCGCAGAGGCAAAACCCTTAATCCTCTACCTCGCTCGACTTCACACGATCACGGATTGGGGAGCTTCTATTTACACACACCCATTCCCCTCTTTACACATCTTTTTCAATAAATAATTGGTTCGGAAGTAGATTTTCGAAAATAAGTAATTGGTTCGGAAGTTACTTTCCGAAAATAAACAATTGATTCGGAAGTAGACTTTCGAATTTTTATTATTTTTTCGACACTCAACTTCCGAATGTGTTTATTTGATGTCTATAATAGTAATTTCACTTGAAAAAAAATTTATAATAAAAATAATTTTTATGAAGTGTGTGCAAAGAGAGGAAGGTGGATGTGTAAATAGAAGCTCCCGCACATGACCTACACCATATGAGATAAAGTGAAGTTTACCCTAAATATAAATGACAAATGTTATTTGAAATATAAAACTGAATACAAATGTGAGTAAAAAACGAAATCTGACATATAATATTAGATAAAGGTAAACACATAGCCATTGCAAAAAGATAAATAAAAAAATACTATAAATAATTACCTTTATCCTCATAAAGGAAATTCTTTATAAAAACTGATACCCACTTTTCAAAAATAAAATAAAAATTTAAAATTTTTTGGAAATAAAATTTTAACTATGGCCTTTTACTTATTAATAATACGAGCTTATATATATTTTTTAAATGAGCGAATTATACTAATATAAATTTTGAATTTAATATAATATAATATTATTTAATTTAATATAATATTATGAAGGCAATCTTGGAAATTACTTGTTATATTTCACAATATATTTTGTAAAACAAACATGCATAACATATATCCAATCTTATATGTCAAGTCAACAAACATGACTTGGGGGATATACTATCAAATACCTATATCCTATTCATTATATATCCTGATTAAATCACACATCATATTATATCCTCCATTTTATATCCAGTAAAACAAACAGGGCCATAGGGTTCTTCTGCAAGTTTTTTTTTTTTTTAATTTTCTTTTTCTTTCTTTATCTTTTTACTTTAGACAAATTTCACTTTACTCGATATAATTTTGCTCATATACGAATTACCCTCTCTCATTTAAGAATAATTACATAACCCTTATATTCTTGTAAACTGAAGTATGTCATTAAAATTTAACTTATTTTAATAGAAATGTGTGTTAAACATAAAAGGATTATATATGTTTATTTTCAAATTTTTAGAAGTAAATCGTACATTGAATAAAGCACATAAAGTTAAAGTACACTTTACTTTAGACAAATGACAAAAATATCCATAATTCACACCTAAATAACTTATATACAGGGATATTGTAGTATTTTTTATTAAATTGTTAATGGGCCTAATGATATATTGTAGTTCATAAATCACAAGGGATTATGTAATTATTTTTATATGTGAGAAGTGATCTACACATGAGCCAAATCACAAGGTAAAGTGAAATTTTCCTTTTTACTTTTTATGCATCCCATTTTTATGTTTGGACACCTTATTTTATTTTAGAAAAATTACAATTCAGCCTATTTTACTAAAAATATTTACAAAGTCATGGGGTCTAACTCTTTTCTTTTATGTAAAAAAAAAAAAAAAATACAACAAAAGTTGCATCCCAAAAGATTCTCACATTTTGGTAATTTTTCTCACCATTTCCAATTAAATAGTAAACCCGTTTTCATTTTTAAGGTAAATTGTTCACATATACATTATGTTCAATTGTTTATTTTCAAACAACTTCTTTTGTTTGAAAAATTATGGTTGAACATTTCATTTTGTTCAAAAATTTATATTCAGAAAGGACATAAATAGTGTGTATTGAGATTTTTTATAGTAAGCAAGTAAAATTATCATATGTTTAATATTTTTTTAGGGTAAATGACACTTTCAATCTTGTATTTTGACTTAAATTTTACTTTGGTCTCCATTATTTTAAATTGAATATTTTAATCCCTTTACCTTTAAAATAGGTTCAATTACTTTAAGTCAATCTCACAAGGTGTCAATGTAGAAAAAATTAGTCCTTCACCTATTCTCCCTTTATTTTTTCACTTTGTTGGCCAGCCTATAAGGAGAGAAAAAGAGTATGAGAGTTACAACAAAAAATAAAATAAACACTAAGGAGGGAAGAGAAAAAGAGAAGAAGAAGAAGAGTGAAAAAGGAAGGAAACTAGGAAGGTAGCATAACTAAGTCACACTCACCCTATTTTCTTCTCCAACCTCATTCCTCTTTCCTCTTTCCTCTTTCTCATTCTATCTTCAACATGTCATTAAATAAATGTAATATGATGATATGCATGGCAAATGTGTTGGGTGTTGGGGATTTGCAAGAAAATAGGGTTTGGCATGCCTTCTTCTTCTTTTTCCTACACAATTGGTATTTTCCCCTAATTTTAAAAAATATCAAATCTTCATGAACTCTAAATCTTTTTTTTATGGGGAGATATTTGATGTGTGTAGAGTATGTGTGAGCTGCGGTGGAACCTAAAAAATTGTTTTGATAGCCTAAATGGCTATTTCAAATTTTTGGCCCAAAGTTTCTAAAAAAAAGAAGCTACCTTCTTGTACTTTCATAAAATTCCAGAAAAATCTTCTCCTGTTGGTTTTTATGTCAAAAAGATAGATTTTTTAGTCCCCTTTCCAACAAGATTTATTTGAGCAAAAAAGTAGTTTGAGAGAAAATATATTTTTCCCAAAGTGTGACAAATCTGGACATAGTCTAGTAAATTAGGAAAATCTTGAGTTTTCAATATGATATCCTAATTTTACAAATTGGAGATGAATTTAGACTTCTTGTTTTATATTTCTCTAGAATATTAGCCTCTAAGGAGACCTAGAAGTTTGTTTACCAATTTATTCTTTTTGTCTCTGAAAATCTAAATTGCTGGAAATTCATGTACTAATGTGTTAGTTGGTTTTAAGTGTTTCCAATAACTTGCTGTAGACACCCCATTTTTACTGCCCCTAAGACTTGGGCACTTCATTCCGAACACTTGATGATGAAATATTATACTGTGCAATCTTTCGAATCTTTAGCAAAGGAATTCAATTTTGAGCTTCAAACCCAAACATTGTACCCTATTTGGACAAAAACCTGTTTTTTTAGCCTAACCATTCAAAAAGCAGCAAGACCAAAAGTTGACCGGCATGCCACTTTTTTGGGCCGACCGACCATGTTCTGCGAAGTAAATATTTTGCAGCAGCAGGTTGCTCCCATGCACGGGATTTGGCCAGCTGCTATCTTTTGAAAATATTTCCATTAGAAGGCGGTTGAAAATCTATTAAAAAAATAAAAATAAATAAAAAAATAAAAAGAGCACTTGACCTCGGAGTTTAGGGTTAGAACAATTTCCCAAAGGCTTGGAAGATTGCCCAAAGCATCTCTCCACCCTCTTGAATATAGATACACTATAGGTACACCATTGAAGCTCAAATTTGAAGCTTTTTGCTGAAGTTGTGAACCTTATTTCAGATACTTGAGAGTGTGTGAATTGAAGTTTCTGAATCAAGAAGCTCTTCCTCTTTTCAAGAGATTGATCTTTGAACTCTTTTCATTGTCTTTTCTTTTATCCTCTTGTTCTTCATCCTCTGTTTTAAACACTGATTTTCAGAGTTGTTTTAGGCTTAAAAATGTTCTTGTTTCTCTCTCTCTTCTTCAAAGTTGTTGTGAACTCTCTTTTAGTTCTATTTTTGAAGCATGGAAATGGATGTCTCATCCATATTCTATGATCATCACATACTATCGTGTGATGTTTGATGGTTTATGAAGTATGTCCATCTCTTCCTTGAAGTAACTTCATGATAGGAAAGAGGTATGTAGAATAGTCTTGCTTTTCGCTGTGTTTAGTAAAGCCTTTTCCTATCGCTTCTAAGATCATCATGCAACAACTTTGCGATAGTTGATGATTTGATAAACAAATCTACCCCTCCCTCGAATATCTTCAAGATAAACATCCTTTAGAAATCCTCTGTCTTGCTTTGTCCCAATTCTGTTGCAGCAAGTTTCCTCCATAAATAATAGCCGGCCGACCACCATCTTGTACGGCCAACCATCTCATTAGGCTGACCGACCACTTTATTTCTATGGTAGTGGTGGTTTTTCAACAAAACAGAGCAGATCCGAAGGTCCAAAACATTACTGTTTTTCTGACTGCGAATAGGGAGGTTTCCGGAGGATGTTATTGCTTGTGCGCACGCGATTCCCCGCCTTTCATTCAATTCCTTTAGATTAGTTGCTTTGAAATTCATATTTGTAATAATTAGTTTGTTTGTAATAATTAGTTAATTAGGACATTCGGACCCTCTTGTACGAGAAAAAATTTGTAACACTTGATGTATGTTGTCCAACCTCCATTTCTTTTTTTCTTTTATTTACATGTTTACTGTGGTTGTACAAAACATCATGTTTTTGTTTCATATCATTTCCATGCCTTGTATCCATTTTTGCATGCATTAAGATTCGGCTCATCACACTTGATGTTGTTAAAAATTTCCTACTTGATTATGTGCGCTACCTCATGCTTTAAGTTGATTCACATGTCATATTAGTAGCTGAATCTAGTAGTTGCATTTTCGTATGCGTTGCATTATTAACCATTTTTTCATATGAGGATCTTGCATGTTTTCTAACTACCTTCTTTTCTTTGGCTTGCCACGGTTAAGTACTAGGTGAACATTTTTTTGCTTTAGCATATTATATGTGTGTTTGTGTTACCATGTTGAGCATACTACTATAAGGCTACTTGCTTACTTGAAATAATTCGATGAATGCCTGTGGATGGAGGGTATTTTTCTTAAATTGGAATGATTTTGATTGTTGTACATATGAGCTCGCTTTTCCTTTGAGTTGCACATATTCAAAAACTCTTTTCAAGAAAACATGAAATCAAAGCATTCCAAAGTAAATGACGTGGTCCATACTTGTTTGCTTCACATAGTAATGTTAGTATATTCAATAATTAGAACATGAGCATATATGTCCATAAAATTCACATCATGATTTAGTAAAGGCCGATCTTTGATTGGTTGAGTGGGGTGCTCAATTCATGACCTTCCCCTCTCATACCTAAGTTCTTGAACCGAGACACCTTGGTTTTGACGGACAAGTGGTATTTGGCATGAG